CTACAAGCTAAACATCCCCAGCTCCCTAAACTGTTCCTCATTTTATGTGCCCCCCCTCCCACATGCTGGACTACAACTCCAAAATCCTCACCATTACGCATCATGACTAAAGCTGATGGGAGTTGTGATGCAGTAACATCTGGAAGGCTGCAGTCTGATATGATGTCAAAGGCTTTCATGACCAGAATCACTGTGAGTTACTGTGAGTTTTTCAGGCTGCATGGCCAAGTTCCAGTAGCATTCTCTCCTGACGTTTCACCTGCATCTGTGGCAGGCACGTTCAGAGGTCTGAAGAAGCCAGCCACAGATGCAGGCAAAATGTCAGGAGAGAATGCTACTGGAACATAGTCACACAGCCCAAAAAAACCATGGAACATATGTGATGTGGTGGAGGCTCCTTCTTTGGAGGCTTTTAAACAGAGGCTTGCTGGCCATCTGTTGGGGGTGCTCTGAATGCGATTTTCCTGCTTCTTGGCAGGGGGTTGGACAGGATGGCCCATGAGGTCTCTTCCAACTCTATGGTTCTATTAATCTATATAACTCTAAGTCATTTGAAAATAAAACTTTTTAAAATCCTTAGCCATCTAATATCCAAGAGAGAATATTGACTGAAGAACTTCAGGAAAGGAGGCTGGGAAAAAGTAAGGTTGATCCAGGAAAGAAAAGATAGCAACCAAAACTGTAAGACTGTTTGAATGAGAAGAGAAAGAAGATGCCAGAGAGAGATACCAGAGATATCTTGAAAATGCTGAAAGCAATGGAGGGATGCAAGGACTATATATGAGTGATAATAACATTAAAGATAACAATAATTATGATAATAATGGTGATAATCATAATCATCATCATTCGCTTTTGAAGGTGCACTTACTGTGTCAAATTAGTGCAGTTTGGCACTACTTTAACTGCCATGGCTCTATGCAATGGAATCATAGGAGCTGTGGTTTTGCTCTTTAGCCTTCTCCGTCAAAGAGTGCTGATGCCTCACCAAACTACAACTCTCAGAATTCCACAGCATTGAGTCATGGCAGTTAAAGTGGTGTCACAATGCATTAATTCGACAGTGCAGATGCACCCTCCATAATCCTTGCATAAGAAAATCTGTATACACTCATATAAAGAATAATTTCATGTATAGTGAAGGGCTAGAAGGTAACGGCACTCTATGCAGTCATGCTTCCCATATGACCTTGGAGGCATCTACGGACAATGCTGGCTCTTTGGCTTAGAAATGGAGATGAGCACCATCCCCCAGAGTTGGACATGACTAGACTTAATGACAGGGGAAACAGTTACTTTTAGTTACATATTGATTTGAAATGGCACAATAATTGTCTATGGGCCTGTTCTAACCACAATTGTAGCATCGCAGAAGAAACCCCACATTTGCCAAAGCTTGACATATTTACAGTGTGGGTGCATGGGAAATGTGTGTGTGCATTTCTGACAGGTATAGCGCAATGTATTCAAACGCACTTGTTTAGAGGTAGCCTAATAAACCGAAGCTCCAGGAAACTTGTCACTTGTTTTCCCTTTCTTCCTTGGCAGGGCCGGGGGGAGGTGGGGGGACCCCTAGGCTGAGCAGTGATGGAAGAAGTGTTTTACCTTGAGAGGCCGAGACACTAAGCTCTTCCAGATGAGATCACTGTCAGAGTTGATCAATGTGCTGACCTACTTAACTTGACAGTGCCTTTTTACCTATAGCGGAATGGCTGACACCAGTATAATAAATATGCATGATTTCCCTCCTCCCTCCAGCAATTCCTTCCCAAACATATCAGCTGACTGCATCCCTGTTATTAGCAGCAGTGCTGCTTAATCTTGGAAGGACACAAGCTTTGCACAAAACACTTTTTGTACAGCACAGCCATCTAGCGGCAATGGTGCTCGGTCTTCTCTGCTGGAACACAAAACAGATGAAGCTTTTACAAAGGCATTGGGCAGCATCTGGTGGCTGCAAATGATTGTATTACACAAACCTGCGCTTGGGAAAGTGACATTTTTTGTACTGTGTTGCCCAGATCAAGCCATCAGCATGGCCAGGCCCTAATGGCTGGAGGATTCAAGGAACTGTAGTCTAGTTTCTTATTGTTGTTTACTCTCATCACTCCAAGTTCAACTTATTTATTTATTTTATTTATTTACTGTATTTGTATACCGCCTTTTTCAGCCCGCAGACTATTCAAGGCGGTTAACAGGGCAAAATTCAATGCTTACAATGTCATAGATACAATTAAATACATAAAATATAATAAAAACTAAACAAATCAATAAAATATAAATTCATAGTGTCTCCTTGTTAAAATGTTGTCCGGACTCATTGTCTAGTCATTCCATTTTCCTGTGTCAGTTACCCTGTATTTGCTTGTTCAAAAAGCCACGTCTTGACTTTTTTCTGGAATGTTAAAATGGAGGGGGTCAATCTAATATCTATAGGGAGGGCGTTCCACAGCTGAGGGGCACCACCGTGAAGGCTGTCTCTCGTCTCCGCCAAACATACTTCTGACGAAGGCGGTAACAAGAGCAGGGCATCCCCAGATGATGTTAAGGTCCTAGATGGTTCATAAGGGGGATGCATTTGGTGATAGATTAATGATGGCATGTTTATTGTCTTATACTATATTTACATGTTGCATTTTATTGTGAAGTGTTACAGAGTGGCTATATTAAATTAGCCACTGATAAACATGACATGCTAGCAATTGTGTTGGTGTTGTATTGACAGTTTATTTGGCATTCAAAAACAGATTCACAATTCTGATGGGCCAAACACCCACTCATTTCCCAGCCCATCATGACATCATATTTAACAATCATGTGTTTATAATTCTTTTTTTGTTTGTCACATTTTGATTTTTGAGGAAAAGGGTAGGAAAGGGAGCAACAAAGAGGGAAAGGGAAAATGAAATAAAAAGAAGCAGAAGAGGGAAAATAAGGGAGAAAAGAAGCACAGGTGTTTGTTCTTACTGGAGAATATTTGGAAGGATTTAGCATTTGGACAACTCCATGTTCTGAGGTTTCTATTTGATATCAGTTGCTGGAGTGGAAGGCACTGTGAGTTGATATAATAATAATAATAATAATAACAACAACAACAACAACAACAACAACAACAATAATAATGACGACAATCATCATCATTTTATTTCTTATCCACATCTCCTGGTGGCTTGAGGTGGGTTACATTCAATCCTGCCACTCTAGACATCAAGTACCATATATACTCAAGTATAAGTTGACCTGAATATAAGCCAAGTGGGTTTTATCAAACAAGTTACAAAATAAATGACTGGATTAAGACTGGACCAGTGGAGTTGAGAATTCACTATAGGCTGTTCAGTGTAATCTTGAAAAGAGCTATTCATGGGCCTGAATCTGCTCTGAGTATAGGATCACATGCCCCAAAATTGCTCCTTTAAACTTTGGTCTAAGAACCAGAGCAGATTCATTGCCCTACTGACCTCAAAGCAGGCAGCTGCTGTTTATCCGTTATGTACACAATACTGTGACGTGGTTCCATTTTAACTGATATGACTTAATACTATGAGATTTTGTGATTGTATTTTTCTTTTTTTGAGGAATTTTCTGCTAGAAACTTCTAGTGTTCTAGTTCAGGGCTAAGAATTTTTTACGTGACTCCAGGACCGGTATATAAAATAGGTATAAAGATCAAATAAGGAGCAGCGGTTTAATTGATGTGATTTAATTCTAAGGACTTCTATGATGGCATTTTCCCTTTCTTTTGGAGAGTATTTAAGAATCACTACTATAGAGTTGTAGTGCTCTGCTTTTTTAAAGCATAAGTTTCTATGCAGAGTGCCTCAGCAAACTAGAGATCCCAGGATTTCTTGGGATGCGGCTCTCCTGAAATTGCAACCAGACCACGGAGGTCTATATTTCTCCCAGCCCTCCTTGGCTAGAGACCTTGTAAAACGACAATTCCCAGTATCCCATAGCATTGACTCGTGGCAGTCAATCATGGGATCTGTAGTTTAGCAAGGCACTCTTTGGTAGAGAAGGCTAATGACCTTGTGATCCCATAGCATTGAACCATAGAAGTCAATCACGGGAGTTGAAGTTTGGCAAGGAGTTGAAGTTTGGTACCCTTTGACAGAGAAAGCTAATGACCTTGTAAAACTACAACTCCCAGGACTCCATAACATTGAACCATGGCAGTCAGTTGTGGAAGTTGTAGTTTGGCAAGCCACTGGCAGCCTTTGGCAGAGAAGGCTGAAGACTTTGTAAAACGACAACTCCCAGGACTCCATAGCATTGAACCTTGGGAGTAAATCTGGGAGTTGTAGTTTGGTGAGGCATCAGTACCCTTTGGCAGAGAAACCTAATGACCTTGTAAAACTACAAACCTGCAGTATCCCATAGTATTGAGCCATGGCAGTCACTCATGGGAGTTGTAGTTTGGCGAGGCACTGGCACCCTTTAGCAGCGAAACTACAGCTACAGTAAAACTACAGCTCCCAGGACTCCTTATCATTGAACTGTGGCAGTGAATCGTGGGAATTGTAGTTTGGCGAGGCACCAGCACTCTTTGGCAGAGAAGGCTAATGACCTCGTAAAACTACAACTCCCAGGATCCCATAGCATTGAGCCATGGCATTTAAAGAGGTGTCAAACCACATTAATTCCACTATGTAGATGCCCTCAAAGTGGTCTTTCTACCCTTTCCATCTATTCATGTATTTTTCTCACTTGAATCTGCAAAGCTTCTGAAAACAGGAAATGGTGTAACTTAACAGCCTGGATCATTCAAAGCCGTAGTTTCTGAACTTTGAGTCATCCAGCTTCTTTAAAAACTTCATTTCCCAAAATTCCTTGCCATTGTACAATCTGGCAGGGGCTTCTGGGAGCTGAAGTTCCAAACCAGCGATGGACCAAAGTTTGAGAATCCAACCTAGGAAAACAAAAGCAGGGACGTTACATTTTAAACACAGGAGAACGTTGGGGGGAAGAAAGCCCTGAGTAAAGCTACACCCCCAGCTTCTGTTACAATCTTTTTGCAACAATCCGGGCGAGAAACTGTTTCAGTAGGACTGGCTGAGTTTGCCAGGAAAAGGGAATGGCTTCAAGACGTATTCAGTGGGCGACGCTGAAGGCATTCCCCTTTGCTGGCAGCAACATGGCACTTCCTTGGCAGAGGAAGGGGAGAAATCCCATTCAGTCCCAAGGCAGCCGAACGTGAGTTTTTACGCGGGAAAACAACGTGTGCATGCTCAATTTAAACTTGCACCATCTATATCTGAACAGGCTCTCTCTCTCTCTATGTAGTCCACTTGTTCTTGTTCAGTTTAGGATTTAAGGTCGGCTGTATAACAATGACTCCTGGGGTGCATCTGCACTTTGGAATGAGTGCAGCTTAACTCCCATGGCTCAAGGCTACGGGATCCTGGGAGGTGTAGTTTTACAAGATCTTCAGCCTTCCTTGCCGAAGAGTGCAGGTGCCCCATAGCATTGAGCCAGGACAGTTACAGTGGTGTCAGACTGCATTAAGTCTGCAGTGTAGAGTTCCTGTGGCACCTTAAAGACTTAATGCAAAGTGTTCTCCAATCATATCCATGGGGGAGGAGGCTCATCATTCTTTCTTCTGACTGGTTGTCAGGAAATTATATATACACACATACACACACACACACACACATGCATACACACACACGCACACGCACACACACAGACAGTAGAGTCTCGCTTATCCAACATAAATGGGCCGGCAGAACGCTGGATAAGTGAAAATGTTGGATAATAAGGAGCAATTAAGAAAATGCCAATTAAATGTCAAATTACATTATTTTACAAATTAAGTACCAAAAACATCATGTTTTACAACAAATCGACAGAAAAAGCAGTTCAATACACTGTAACATTATGTAGCAATTCCTGTATTTATGAATTTAGCACCAAAACATCGCAATGTATTGAAACAGCTGTGGATCCAGGCTGGAGGCAGACTGCATTGGATAATACACAACGTTGGATGAGTGAAGGTTGGATAAGCGAAACTATAGTGCCCTGTGGGAGAAACATGCTGCTCTCCTTGGAGAAATTGTCTTCATACAATTTAATAATAATAATAGTAGTAGTAGTAGTAATAATAATAATAATAATAACTTTCAGTTCTTGTGGGTTTTTTCGGGCTATATGGCCATGTTCTAGAAGCATTTTATTTATTATCTAAATAATAACTTTGTTGTGAGTTTCCCGGCCATGTTCCAGAAGCATTCTCTCCTGATGTTTTGCCCGCATCTATAGCAGGCATCCTCAAAGGTTGTGAGGTCTGTCTTGGAACAGTTTCTTCTCGTAGAGATGTTCAATATATTGTCAAAGGCTTTCATGGCTGGAATCACTGGGTTGTGAGTTTTTGGGGCTGTATGACCATGTTCCAGAAGCATTTTCTCCTGACCTCACAACCTCTGAGGATGCCTGCCATAGATGCAGGTGAAACATCAGGAGAGGATGCTTCTGGAACATGGCCATAGAGCTCGGAAAACACACAACAACGCAGTAAGTCCAGCCATGAAAATACATTAATAACTTTATTTATCTCCCAAAGGGACTCGAGGTGGTTTACAGAAGCACATATAAGTGCCATAATACATAAAAATAGAGGTAAAATTACATCAACATATTAAACAATGACAATATAGCTAATACGCATAGCTTTAACATATTAAATGTGTTAAATTAAAACTTTCTTATATGTGTTACTTCTTCACAAGGAGGAGGAGGCAGTCTATAACCAACCCTCCACATTGGTGTTTTTTACTTTTGTAAATATGATTATTCACAGGTTTGATTAATATCTTCTCTCTAGAAATCTCTGCATCCTCCAGCATGACTCTGTATCATCCATTTCCTACAGTCATGCTGGAGGATGAGATTCCTATAGAGCAGGCATGGGCAAACTTTGGCCCTCCAGGTATTTTGGACTTCAACTCCCATAATTACTAACAGCTAATGGAATTGTGGGAATTGAAGTCCAAAATACCTGGACAGCCAATGTTTGCCCATGCCTGCTTTAAAGACTGTCATGATATGCTGTCTGTTCTCTCCCTCACGCCAATATTTTTAATTTTAAAAAATTACGTACGTAATTTTCCACCTACATAACCGTGAAGCCAACAGGACATTAAAAGTTGCCAAGAGCTCGAATGCTATTCCTGTTCTAAATATTTCGTGTCACCTTAGATTGAACACTAACATTTAGGAAATTGTATGAACACCAAGCACAAAGTAGCTGCATGCAATAACATCCTGCAGAAACTTACTGGTGGCACATGGGGTGCAGACCCAAAATTAATGAGAACATCAGCCCTGGCCTTGTCTTACTCAGCTGCTGAGTATGCCTGCCCTGTTTAGTACAAGTCTGCCCATGCAAAGTAGTTGAATATAGCACTAAATGAAATATGTAGAATAATCACAGGATGCTTCAAACCAACACCTGTTGATATAGACTCTATAAGCTAGCTGGCATTGACCCTCCCCCCACCCAATGCATGAGGGGAGAAATAAGGTTGAATGCTGTGAAAGCCATCGATTGCATGGCTGTCAGCCTCCTCCCAGTAGACTAAAATCAAGGAAAATCTTCATGAAAACCATCACAACTCTTAATGTTCCTCCAGCAACAGCAAGAGTATCCCTGTGGACAGCTAAACCAAGACATCCCAACTGGATGGCCCCCGACAAGGGTCTTCCTCCAGGGGCAAACCAAGAATGGGTAGCTTGGAAGTCCCTGAACACACTTAGAAGTGGAGTGGGCAGATCAAAAGACAACCTGGCAAAATGGCACTATCTAGAAGAACATTCCACCTTGTGCAACTGTGGAGCAGAACAGACAACTCAGCATCTGCATGCTTGCCCACAATGCCCTGCCTCATGCACAGAGGAAGAGTTGTTTAAAGCTACAGGCAATGCGGGTGCTGTTGACCATTTTTAGTCTGGAGTTGTTTAGCCACTTGTGCTCCCTCTATTTTATCACTTTTATATTTGTTTATTTATGCAATGCTTTTGACATGAAATAAATAAATACATCTTAAAATTAACAGAAAAAAACACAAATAAAGAAAAATAACATTCCTAATAGGGCCCCTGATGGTGCAGTGGGTTAAACCGTTGAGCTGCTGAACTTACTGATTGAAAGGTTGGCAGTTCGAATCTGGAGAGCGGGGTGAGCTCCCTCTGTTAGGCCCAGCTTCTGCCAACCTAGCAGTTCAAAAACATGCAAATATAAGTAGATCAGTAGGTACCGCTTCTGCAGAAAGGTAACAGCGCTCCATGCAGTCATGTTGGCCACATGACCTTGGAGGTATCTACAGACAACACCGGCTCTTCTGCTTAGAAATGGAGATGAGCACGACCCCCAAAGTCGGACACGATTAGACTTAATGTCAGGGGAAACCTTTATTTTACCTTAACATTCCTTATACATATATAAATCTCAACATATTTAAACAACTACCATAACAAACTATATGATAGACATCTCTAATTACTAATAACTCTGAACTACAAACACATACATATGGTTTAATGAGTTTTAAAAGTGGATTTCCTGCTTCCCTTTTGCCAGTTTCTCTGTAATTTACCCCCCCCCAACATTATATCTGATAAGTTATTAACTTCAGCTTGTTTAACATTAACAAGCAAATATCCCAATATTTTATGTACATGAAGTATTTCCATTTCCTTCAGATATATATTGATACAAAAATTCTAAGAATGTGTCCAGTAATGTATCCTTCAATAACTTTGTTAATGTGCCCATTTCTATTAGTTCCCATATCTTCACTGCCTAATCTTTTTGTAGTTGGTGTTTGTATCTTTACTCACAGTTGACTATATAGGATTCTTGGTGTTGTTAACATATGCTGCAGTATTCTCTCATGATATGCTGCCTGCATGATAATCCAGCCAACAGCTGAGCTGCTGCATTTTGTATTACCTCCAGCTTCCTAGTCTTCTTCAAGGGCAACTCCAAGTAGAGTGCATTGCAGTAGTTTAACTGTGAGGTTACAAGTTCATGGACTACTATGACTAGGTGCACAAAAGGGTATGGCTAGTACATCAGTTGAAGCTCTGAGTCACAGAGTCCACTTGGGCTTCCAGTGACAATGCTCCCTGCTCAGGTTATATATGTGCTTGATCTGTTTTATAGTAAAGTTTTAATTATTTATTGTGTTCTATTCATAGAATATTTCAGGTCAGATATACTTTGCTATCTTGATTATTTAGGGTGAGCAATAGATTAGAATACTTTCAATTAACCATTAAATCATATAGCCCTGTACACAAAGAAGACATTGCAATCCACAAGCACATGGACAATTTCAACAGAAAGGAAGCAACCATAAAAATGAACAAAATTTGGCTACCTTTGCTGAAAAACACTAGAATCAAGATAGTGAATAAGGAACACCAACTGGACACAGAAAGTCTCCATACAGTAAGCAACCGAGGGTTTCCTCAGACAAAGGATGCCCTCAGGCAACAAACAGTTCAAAGCGAACAAAGGCCAGGCTATTTCCAAGCTTGCTAATTGTACCCTTCACGGTAGTTTAACAGACAATAGTTCTTTTTCTGGACATTCCACAGGTATATATACTCAATTTGCTTGACTACCATCAGATCCTCTGAAGATGCCATGCGAAATGTTAGGAGAAAATGTTGATAGAACATGGTCATACAGCCTGGAAACCACACAATACTCCTGTGCAGCCCTCATTTGTATGCACAATTTCCCATAGCTATGATTAATTGCATTTGCAAAGAGTCCTGTAGTCACCCCCCCCCCCCCCCCCCATTTCCCACCCAAACCGTAGAAATTTGCAAGCCACATCCATATCTTTTCCCAAGTTGGTCAGATGCTCTATCAACACCTCTTTCAGAATCCTAAACCTGTTCCCCAATATCCTTACAACTCCATCCCCAGAGAAATCCGGTGGTCTAACCTCCTTCTTGGGCTTAAGGTTTTGGGTTTTTTGTGTGTGTCAGGAGGGACTCGAGAAACTGCAAGTCGCTTCTGGTGTGAGAGAATTAGCCGTCTGGAAGGACATTGCCTAGGGGATGCCTGGGTGTTTTACCATCCTGTGGGAGGCTTCTCTCATGTGCCTGCATTAGAAGCTGGAGCTGACACATGGGAGCTCACCCCGCTTCCTAGATTTGAACTGCTGACCTTTTGGTCAGTGGTCCTCCAGGCACAAGGGATTAACCCAGGGGTCCCCAAACTATGGCCCCCGGGCCGTATGCGGCCCACTGAGGGCATTTCTCTGGCCTGGCCACGCCCACCCGGCGCCACTCCGCCAATTACGGACACCCTTTGCTCCGGCCGCTCTGCCTGTGTGGGAGGGAGAAGCCTCCTAGGTGGGTCCTCTGCAGAGCAGAGCGGCTGGAGCAGAGGGTGTCCGCAATTGACAGAGCGGCGCTGGGTGGGCGTGGCCAGGGAACGCCGGCGTGGTGAAGGCAGGTGAACTACAACTCCAAAACTCAAGGTCAATGCCCACTAAACCCAGTATTTTCTATTGAGTATCAGTGCCAAGTTTGGTCCAGATCTATCATTGAGTCCACAGTGATTTATGGAGGCAGGTGAACTACAACTCCAAAACCAAAGGACACTGCCCACCAAACCCTTCCAGTATTTTCTGTTGGTCATGGGAGAACTGTATGCCAAGTTTGGTTCAATTCCATCGTTGATGGGGATCAGAATGCTCTTTGATTGTAGGTGAACTATAAATCCCAGCAACTACAACTCCCAAATGTCAAGATTCTATTTTCCCCAAACTCCACCAGTGTTCAAATTTGGGCATATTGATATTTGTGCTAAGTTTGATCCCGATCCATCATTGTTTGAGTCCACAATGATCTCTGAATGTAGGTGAACTACAACTCCAAAACGAAAGGACACTGCCCACCAAACCCTTCCAGTATTTTCTGTTGGTCATGGGAGAAATGTGTGCCAAGTTTGGGTCAATTGCATCGTTGGTGGGGTTCAGAATGCTCCTTGATTGTAGTTGAACTATAAATCCCAGCAACTACAACTCCCAAATGACAAAATCATTTTTTTAGTGAAGGACATACATTGGGTTGTTAGGTGTCTTGTGTCCAAATTTGGTGTCAATTCGTCCAGTGGTTTTTGAGTTCTGTTAATCCCAGAAACGAACATTACATTTTTATTTATATAGAAGTGTGGGTTTTTGTTTTTTTTATTTGGGAGGGGGGGCGTTGCACTGCAAATAATATATGTGCAGAGTCCATAGGAATTCATTCATTTTTTTTTCAAATTATAATCCGGCCCTCCAACAGTTTGCGGGACTGTGACCCGGCCCTCTGTTCAAAAAGTTTGGGGAACCCTGGTTTAACCCATTGCTCTAATGGGGGCTCCTAGGGTTTTGGAGAACTGAATATCACTTATGGGCTGCACAGTTTCTACGGCTGTTCTTCACCCACACTTCTCCTTAATTAATGTAGGCTTTTTGAATCTGACAATTCATTATATACATATATACAAACACAGGCATTTCAGAATCTGTTAAAATCCAAAACACTTCTGGTCCCAAGCCTTTTGGATAAAGGATACTCCACTTGTTTTGTTGTATGTAACATGGAACTGAAATGAGAACGATATTTGGCTTATATTTGTTTTCCTTTCTTGTACTGTAGGCTCAGTGGGTTTTAGTTTAATAATTCTCATTATTTCCTTGTTTACAGGTGTTGTTTACCATGATGTTTTCCTCCTAGATAACAAGAATCTTGAAAAATGTCATTACAATTAAGGATGCTGCCAGAATGGGAACTGTATTTTTACCTCTTTGTTTCTTTTGGCTTTCATTTTTATTCTTTCTATGAAGTCTTCCAGACCTCTCGAGGTAAGTCTTTCTCGCAGGCATTTGGTCTTTGGGTACTGATTATTTTATAGTTCTCAGTGTATTGACTTTGGGTACTGCTTTTGTAGTTCTCAGTGTATTGACGTAAATAGTTCTTCTTAATGGGGTACTTTCTAACAGTCCCCAGCAGGGTGTCCCACAGAGGCTTTCTGCCTGAAGCTTGTAGGTAACCTTTTTTTGTATGAGCTGAAAGCTACAGAGAAAGACTGGAAAGTACAGCTTGTGCTTCTACTTTTAATGAAAGTATAATTCCAGGTTGTACATTAGCTTAGTAAGAAACCTCTAGAAGCATTAACTAGGCATTTATTTATTTTTTCAATAAGAAAAAGGAGAAACTAAGCACCTTTGAAGGTTGGCTTACTAATGGTTTCAAGGGATTAAAAATGAAAATTTGTTGTGTACTTTTCTAATGGAGAACTCAGAATGTTCATGCCTAGATGGTATTTTTGAGAAATGCCGTTGAAGGCAAGGAATGAACTCCAGCAGAGTCTGCCTACCAGCAAAAGACACATAGGATCTCATCACATCGAGAGGGGAAAGCATGGGTGACCGTCCTTTTAGCATAGAGAATTGCCTCTCTTATATCATCAGCAGTCCTGTTTCGAGTTCTGCCTCCCATCACATTCACATGTGGAAACCTAAGAGCTGGCAATATATTCATCTTATATTCATCACATAGTTAGCATTACATTTTTTTTTAAATCAGGAGAAAAAACCCTTGCCCTGCCCAAAGCCCCTTACGTTAAAGGAGACTGACACCTGGTTTTATAGATGTAGGGACTGAATGCAGTTCAGTTGATGTATTGCTGCAAAGGGATTCTCAAGGTCGTGAGCCTGGGAAAGGCTCTGCGCCTGGTCAGTTATCTCCAGGTGCAAATTTTAATGAAGCCTTGAACAGAAGAAGTGCTTTTAGCCAGCAAAGATAAACAAATCAGAAATTAAGGCGCTCAGTCAGATTAGAGCAGAAGCTAGAAGTGAAACCAAAATTGAGGAAAAATCCATTCTTAGCTGTTTGGGAAACAAAGTAGACACATAAGTGTAAGCTCACAGCAGCCGCTCCCAATAACGACACAGGACGCCAATCCGTAATCAATCAGGAACTTTTACTGCTGGACATTCATACACGAAGAAAGCCAGGATTGGCCGGCAGCCGCAATTTAACCCTTATATACCCTCCCTTACAATTGAATTCCCCTTTCCCGCCGGCCGAGAATCCCGCGCAATATTCCCCGCCAAATGCCAACTGCTTCCCCCCAAGGCCACCAGCTGCACATTCTTATCAGCAGTCCATGTCAGGATTCTTGTTTTTTGCGCCAAGACTCAAGGCCTGGAAACCGGTTCCTGACATGATGTCCTCCTCCTCCTCCTCCTCTTCCTGGAATGGAAACACATATCACTACTATACTCCTTCTTCATCTAGCGAACCTTGGTACTTTTTCAACAAGCTACAGTGAAATGTTGGGTGTATTTTCCCCAAAACCTTTGGTAGTTGCAATGCATATGTGACATCATTGATTTTGCTGGAGATTCTAAACGGACCGATGTATTTAGGAGATAACTTCCTGGACGGGGCATTCAACTTGAGATTTTTGGTGCTCAACCATACCAAGTCCCCTTCCTCCAACCTATCTCCTTCCCTCCTTTTTCTATCCGCAAATAACTTATACTTCCGTTGGGCTTCTCTGAGTGATTTCACTACCTCCTCCCAACTCGCCCTCGCCCTGTCTGGCCACCCTTCCTTTCCCCACGGTTCCTCCTCCTCCCAACTCGGCAGCTTTGGCAAAGGGGTTACTTCCATGCCGTAGACTATTTCAAAGGGGGATTTCCCTGTGGATGCGTGACAAGCTCCATTATATGCGACTTCTGCAAATGGGATCAGGTCTGCCCAGTCGTTTTGGCAATGATTTGTGTATGTCCTTAGGAATAATCCCAACGTCTGCTGAGTGCGCTCGACCCCCCCATTGGTCATGGGATGGAATGCTGAACTCAGGGTCCTTTCTACCCCCATCATTTGCATGAACTTTTCCCAGAAACGTGCCGTAAACTGCACCCCTCGGTCGCTGATCACCTGATCGGGACAGCCATGCAACCGATATATGTGTTTAATAAACAGCTCAGCCAACTTTTCCGCAGATGGCAATTTAGGCAGCGCTATGAAATGCGCCTGTTTTGAGAACAAGTCCATCACTGTCCATATGTAGCGCTGACCTCGGCTATTCGGGAGTTCGCCTACAAAATCCATGGCAATCACACTCCAAGGCCTCGACGGCTCTGCCACCCTCTGCAATAACCCTGCTGGCTTTTGTGTGGGTACTTTGTTCTGTGCACATGCGTTACATCGGGATACATATGATTTTGTGTCACCCCTCATCCCGGGCCACCAACATTGGCGTGCCAGTAATTTTAGAGTTTTCGTAACTCCCCAGTGTCCTGCCCCCTTGTTATCATGGCATCTAATCATCATTTTTCCCCGCAGGCTGACTGGGATATATACCTTCTTGTTTACAAACCCCAATCCACCCTTCCATTCCACCTTTTCCTTGTTCCTCTCCAGCCATTTCGTTCAGTTTCGCTGAACTTTTTTGATATGAACCCACATGGCTTCAACCTCCCTTCCGGATCCCTTTGCATCAATGCTGCCCCATAGGCCCAATCTGATGCGTCACAATGGATCACAAATTGCTTAGTCAGATCGGGGTGGATTAGGACAGGTTCTTCTGTGAACCTGCGCTTCAGTTCCTCGAAAGCCCTCTGGCATTCTGCTGACCAATTCAACCTTGCTCCCGGGGACCGTACCTTTATCGTCTCCCCCCTCCCCTTTGTCTTCAGCAATTCGGTGAGGGGCAGTGCCACCTGAGCAAAGTCTTTTATGAACACCCGATAAAAGTTTGCAAATCCTAGGAAGGATTGTAACTGCTTGCGTGTTCTGGGGGGTCCCCACCCCCTGACATCCTCTACCTTTGAAGGATCCATTGCCACCCCTCCCCAGGAGATTCTGTATCTGAGGAAATCTATTTGTTCCTTATTAAATTCACACTTTGGCAGCTTTGCAAACAACTTTGCTTCCCTCAATTTCTGGAGTACCTCCCTCACCAACTGAACGTGGGATTGCCTATCACGGCTGAATATAATTATGTCATCCACAAAGCAGTACACTCCGCGGTACAGTAGCGGGTGCAACACCTCATTAATCATTTGCATAAATGCCCCCCCAGAGCCTTTTAACCCGAAGGGACACACGAAATATTCAAAATGCCCCAATGCACATGAGAAAGCCGTTTTCCACCTGTCCTCAGGCCGTATTCGCAACTTATGATAGGCCTCAATCAAGTCAATTTTCGTAAACACCTTCGCCTCTGACAGTCTTGAAAGTAAGTCCTTGGTTAGAGGCAATGGGTAATTGTTGGTCGTGCTCACTGCGTTCAGCCCCCTATAGTCCACACACAACCTCAATGAGCCATCCTTTTTGTGCCTAAATAGCACTGGGGCCCCCAATGGGGATTCAGATGGTACTATGAACCCTCGGGCTAAGTTCTTATCGATGTACTTCCTCAGTTCCTCCATCTCCTTAGCCGACATTGGGTATAGCCTACTCCTAGGCAGCTTAGCATCTTTATTGAGCTCGATTTTCACCTCGACCCGTCTTGGGGGAGGAAGCTGATCCGCTTCCTTTTCATCAAATACGTCCTCAAAGTCTCTATATTCAGGAGGGATCTCCTGCACTCCGTCTGTCGTGCCTCCCTCCCCCTTATAACATTCCCCCTTTTCTTTGCCTTGGAAACTCAGGCTGCCCTTCCTCCAATCGATTCGTGGGTTTGCCTCCCTCAACCACGGCATCCCCAATATCACATTATAAGTTGCCATAGGGGATACTACAAATGTTATGCCGCCTTCCCAATTCCCTATCTTGCACTGCACTTTCCCCACTTTGAATCGCGCTGGGGCTCCAGCCGCTACTGAGCCATCCAGCTGTGAGAATGCTATAGGGGCTGGCAAGACGGCCTTCTCACATTTCAGTTCATCTGCCAATTCTGGGGTCATAATGTTCCTGGAACAGTCACAATCCATGAGGGCTTTGCAGCTGGCCCACTTCCCCTCCCCTTCTAGTCTTATCGGGAATACTAACATCCCTGGGTTGTGACTCACCAGATCCCCCACTGGGGCCCTGTGAGGGAGACTCTCTTCCGCTCTCTTCCCAGCGGCCGGTTTAAACTTTGACTGAGGGGGATCCCCCCCTTTTCTCTGCTGACAATTTGCAGCCTGATGCCCAAAACGGCTGCATACAAAACAGCCACCTCTCTGCTCCTTGGGTCCTCCGGCTGGGCCTTTCCCGGTCGTGCCTCTCTCCGCCCTCCGACTCTCCTCCTTGGCTCTCGTCTGCTGCGGTGCCACCCCTCGATGTCTCTTGACTTGAGCCAGGGTCGTCTCGATGCGGCCAGCCAGCTCAATCCATCCGCCTATCTCCTCTGGATCATCACGATGAAGTGCCCAAGCCAAGATTTCCTTCCGCAGGCCTTCCTTAAATATCTGGACCTTAGTGGTATTGGACCACTCAGGTACCTTTTCTGCCCGCAACTGGAATTCTTCTACGTATTCGGACACTGAACGCTGGCCTTGGGTTATAGTTTGCAATGTCTCTCTCGCTCGGATTCTCTCAAGCGGATCCCTGAAGCGTGCTTCCATCGCCGCCAGAAAACGCCTCGTGGATCCCAAACATGGGTCATGTCTGGCGTGGAGTTGGACATACCACTCTGCCGCTCCTCTCCTCAGTGCCGCACCCACTGCCTGCACTCTGCTTGCCTCTGATCTGAAAGTGGGTGCGTTGTCCTCTAGATATCCCCTCACCATGGTTAAGAAATAATCGAGGCTCCCGGCTTCACCTCCAAATTCGACTCGGAGCTCCTCCCTCCTCTGGTGAGGGACAAGGGCCTGCCTCTCCCGGCTCTCCGCTCGCAGTGGCCCTCCCTGGAGCCCATGCTGCT